CCCTAATCTAGCTAAAATCTAGTCTAATATTAATAAAGTCTACCTAAAGAAGTTTAAAATACTAAATATTATCTAATACTACTATAAGAAAAATCTAACTTAAATTCCTATCTAGCTTAAAATACCTCCTATTTAAGATTCTTACCTTATAGTATAAGAGTAGTTTAATACTAATATATTAGATAAGTTTACTACTTTTACTTTCCTTCCTAATTATAAAATAAATATAAAGTTTACTAGAGAGGATAAAGAGAATAAAGAGAATAAAAATAAAGAGGGTAAATATTTAGACTAAAAAGATATATAGATATCTAGATAAATAGTAGTATATATTAGTATAGATCTAATATATAGTATTAAAAACCTTAGCTTCTTAAAATTTAAAATATAATTAAAGTATTAGTAAGTTTATTCTATATAGTAATAATATATTATAATATTATAATATAATAAGCTATTATAATAACTTATTATAATAACTTATTATAATAACTTATTATAATAACTTATTATAATAACCTATTATAATAACCTATTATAATAACCTATTATAATAATCTTTTATAGTAAATTAAAATAGAATTTACTTATCTCTACCTCTATATCTATATCTCCTATAAACCTATATATCTAGCTAGCTACTTAACTAGGTCTATATCTTTCTTCTAAAGTATAATTTATTTTATATAGATAGTATAGAGGTTTATACCTATTTAATATATAAATAGGAGCACCCTTAGTTAATAATAATTATATATTTTTAAATATAGTAATAAGATATAATTTAATAACTATTTATAAAGCTCTTATAGCCTCTAATTAAAAGTATAAATCTAAATATATAAACTATAATATTTCTCTTATAAGCTAGGAAAATAACTACTTCTAAATTATATTATCTATTATTCTCTACTACTTCTTTATTTCTTAAAATGCTTATACTATAAAAGTTAACTCTAAGGGAGGCTAATTTAAAATATATTTAAACTTACTTCTTAGTTAGTAATAGTATAAACGTTTTTTCTTAATAATAATATTCTTTTATAATACCTTCTATACTTTTTATTTTCTTAGTAGATTTAATATACTACTTATAGGCTTCTTCCTTATATTCCTCCTCAGTAGTTATAATAATAAACTATTCTTAATTTTTATAGTAATCTTTATTACTATAAGTAGTAGAAAGTTAGGTTTACTAATAATATCTTCTACTATATTAAGATTAAGTAATTATTACTATAGCTCTATTTATAGATATATAAGGGTTTTAGAAATTTTACTATCCCTTAAATACTAACTAGATATAGCTAGTATTAATAGGATACTTTTAGATAATTAAAGTAGTATTATTATTTTAAAGACTTATTATAAGAGAATTAAAAAATATATCCTCTATAATTACTATAATAAATACCTATAGCTTAGTTATATTAGTAAGTAAACTAATTATCCTTTAAACTTATTACTAAATAGTATAATACCTTATACTTATAATAATCTATTATAATAATTTATTTCACTTTAACTTCTCTTTATATTTATTACTATATCTATATTAGTAATATATACTATTTAATTATATATAATAAATAACCCTTTTAAGGAGATCTCCTCTTTAGTCTTACCCCCTCTTAAATATAAGCTAATATATAGTAGCTCTATTATTCTTTTTACTATAAATACTTCTTTTATTAAATAGTAGTAAAAAACTTATTACTATAAATAGAAAGTAGAAAATAATATTAAGATCCCCTAGGAATCCTTAACTCTTAATATATACTTAAAGAGAGTAGCTAAAATCTTTAGTAAATCTTATAAGTAAGTAGATACTTAGGCTAATTTCTATAAAAGGGTAAAAATCTAAAAGGGAATCCTCTATCTTATCTATAATATATATAATTCTATCCTTATCTATCCTAATATTACTAGTTTAAAGATTAACTTAATAAATAATTATTTTTATAAATTAGCTTATTTTAAAGCTTAATATAATATTTTAGTATCTTTTAGAATATAATATAATAAAGAAATAATTTATCTCTAAACTATAAGACCTATTTAAGTTATTTATAATAATTATTATAATAACCTCCCTCTACTTTCTAGCTTATTAGTAAAAGAGATAAGTATACCTATATAGATAAAGTACTATTATACTACTTTATTAATAGTAGTATATCTTTTAACTCTATTTCTAAGTTAACTTTTAAGTTCTTTACTAACTTTATAAACCTAAAGTAGATACTACTATCTACTATAATAATTACTAAGAATCTTAAAGTTAAAACTTTAGTTATTTAAACTAAAGTTCTTAAGTAAATCGTTCTAAGTTTAAAAATATCTCTAATAATTAATATTTAAATAATACTAAGTTAGAAGTATACTATACTTAGTATTATAGCTTACTTTATAGATAAGAACTAGAACTATTACTATATCCTTCTTAGTACCTCTAGTATTATAAAAAACTATACTATAGAGATTATTATAAATATAATTATTAAAACTCTTAAAAAGCTTTTAAACCTTAAACTTAAATTTAACTATATTTCTATAGATAACACTTCTAATTTTATACTAAATATCCTAGCTAAGTTCTATAAGACTATATTCACTATACTATAACTTAAAGTTACTTATATTTAATACCTTACCTATATTATTAACCTTATAGTTTAAGAACTATATAATTACCTTAAAGTTACTTATATACTTATAATAGGTAACCTTATATAATATATATTAAATATAAATAATAAAGAAGTTATTAAAGCTACTATACTACTATAATAAACTTTAATAAAATAGGCTACCTCTATTTTATAGAATATAAATTAAAAAGTTCATTTAGATAATAAGACCTCTACTAATTATAGTTTAAATAGGATTTTACTATTAGAAGGTTAAATTAAAGGACACTATACTTTAACACTTACTATAATAATTACTAAAGTAAAGTACTTTATTCCTAATCCTTTATATCTATTATTATTTATAACTTTTTAGGTTTAATACTTTATACTAAAGATTAAATCTAACCTAATATACTCCTTAGGGTTTTTAATACTTTAGAAAAATAGTAAAGATAAGAACCTTATAAAGTGCCCTAAATATCTAATTATTAATATAAAAACTTACTAGAACTTAACTATATTAATATTAGTTTATACTCTTAAACTTTAAACTCTAATTAATACTTAGTTTAATAACTATAATAATAATATCTCTTTTAAGCTAGAAGCTAATAAATAGTACTAAATTAAAGTTATCCTCAATATTTCTATATACTTCCTTACTATTATATATATTCTAAGCTAGAACTAAGCTATTAATATTACTTATATAATTACTTTTATAAAGATCTATTATAACTATTTAATAAAATATTAAGAAGCTATTAAGAAACTTAATACTAATAAGAATAAATATTAAGTTCTATCTTTTTAAAAAGTAGTATAAGTAGTAGTAGATAAACTTAAGAAGTATTAATTACTATAAGAAAAGGATTAGTTTCTTTATATATTTTTATTATTCCTATATCTCTTATCTATACTAAATATAGTAAATAATAATCTAAGATTTTATAGTATTTATAAAACCTATTCTAACCTATTAGCTAATACTACTTAGAAAGAGTTTACTAAAATCTATACTAGAAATTACTATAAGGATAGCTTAAAAAACTTAAAATCTACTTTAGATAAGGTTTATAGATCTATTTATAGTTTAATAGCTTTAATACTCTAAAGTCCTAAGAAATAAGTACACTATAACTTTTCTTCTATCTTTATAATAACTTATTATAATAATCCTTATAAAAATTTTATTATAATAATCCTATTATAATAATCTTATTATAATATTATTTTAATCACTTAGCTTATATACTTCTTTAGAACTAAAAATAAATATCTCCTTTAAATAGATTTAATATTATTTATAATTTCCTTAAAAAGTATAAGTACTATAATCCCCCCCTTTCTAAAAATAATACTAAATTAGTATTAAGCTATTATACTAAGTAATTAATCTAAAACTTCTAGAGAAACTTAGAAAAAAATCTAAAATATTATAACCTCTATAGAATAGCTTATAACTATCTTTATATTTTCCTTAATACTATCCCTCTTAAATAGGTATTTAATTTTAGTAAATATATCTATTACTATTTATACTTTAATATAAAACCTAAAATAATTTTCTATTAACTCCTTCTTACTATTTAGAATAAGTAATAAGAATAATTTTTATTCTCTAATCTAAAACCTTTTATTTTAGAAGATAATATACTTAAGAAACTTAATAAAAATTATACTATATTAATTTACTAAATATTCTAATATAAAGTTCTTAATATTAAAAGCTCTTATACTATCTCCTATAAGTTTATTATTAAGTATATTTAAGATATTATTAATATCTTAANTTAAGTAATAATAATAATAATAATACTTAAGATATTTAAAACTTAATATAACTAAAATCTTTAGATATAAAACTTATTAAAGTTAATAACTAAGTTTTAAGTTTTAATAATAAGCTAAACTAAGCCTCTTAGATATTATTCTTAAACTTAAGTATATTATAGTAAAATTTATAAACTTATAAATATTCCCCCCTATTATTAAGTTAGAGAATAAGAGAGTAATTAAGTAATTAAAAGATTATAAATAAAATAAATTATAGTGAATTTCCCTTATTAAAAATTAATAATATAATAGAATAGTTTAATTTATCTCTTATATAATTTAGATATTTTAATTTAAGCTTTAACTCCTCTCTAAACTTATCTTAGTATATTATACTTATTAAATAAACCTTTACTTAGAACTTAAATTATAATCCCTACTATACCTATATACCTAATACCTAAATATTAAAATCTTACTTAATACTTATACCTACTTAGTACCTACCTAGGTACCCCTCTATAACCTATAGACTATATAAGTATATACCTATATAGGTATCTATAGATAGTTCGAAGCCTAGCAGCAGATAAAGAAACGAAGGAGCTAAGCAAGTCCAGTCTTGTAGTGGCGTTGCAAAGAAAGGTGGTCAGCTGGAACGCGTTGCCCTCGAACTTCAAGCAGCTAAAAGCCACGACAACTTGGTGCCATGTGATAGAGTTGGCTGCTTGGCTTGGGATGTACTGGTCCGTCTTTGATCGTTCTCGGGACAAGTACCAAACGCAAGGAAACGGGTACACACTCAGTGGCGTAAACGTCACAAATATCGGGACAGTGTTTACATTTCAGGTCCACGGGCGGAACCGTTTCGAAGAGAATCGGGTTATACCTGATTATGGAATCAAGGAGCTTTGCTTCGGCTTTGTGCCCACGATATACCACCCCAAGTCGGACGCCAGCCCAATCCAGTACCCTTCGGAGAGCGTGAGGGATTTTCCCATGCCCAACATGTCTAGTGCAACCGACGTTGTGCGGTTGCTCGTCACACTAGGGTGTAACGCTGCTACGATTAAGTTATTCGAGAAGGACAAGATCGTCTCGCACCTTTACCCAGGTACGTTGGCTTGACGACCGACTTGAGCTCCTTTTTCTGAGAAAAGTTACAGTGGTGTTCGAAATAATCGGAATGTTAGCTCGAAATTTTCATGTCACGAACAGCAGTTTTCGGAGACTCCCCAACCCGACACAGTATAGGTGGGATGCGAGATCATTCTCGTTCGATCTAACGTTAAAGGCCTTTTCGTTACAAACGGATGCTCTCGGATGGTGGAACCAGAGCAGAGGAATGCAAGGGTCGCTGGGCACCTTGCTTGTCAAGCACTCGAGAGATCTTCGGCGCCTTATCATACCTGCTCCAAGCTCAGATCAAGCATCCAGTTTGGAGGTTATGAACCGCCTTCATTTAACTATCGAGAGTCTAGATGAGATACTAATGGTGGAGGAGCAGGGGCACAACAACAAGACAAAAACCACAGCCGAGCTCAGAAGCGCACGGCAGAAACTTGTACTAGTCGTTCTTCGCTTTCATATTCAAGAGGTGGTCTCTGAACTCAACGAGTACAAATCTGCCGAGACACGGGACGTGCCTGGCGAACAGACACCTGACAACGATAAGACGAAGAAGTCGACTGATCCACCTTCGTGGGAGGACGTGCTTCAAGCGCCGCTAGAACTGAGACAGCACACCCTCATGAAGGTTTATTTCCTTGTTGTTTTGCCAAAGGTAGTAAAGGGAGTAAACAATCTCGTTTCAATGTATCCAGGGTTAGAGCTTGGTACTTGCGATGTCTGGGAGGTCTGGTGTGCGCTCTTGTTCAGGTCGATTTGCTGGCTGATGCTTCATGATTTTCATCCGAGGGACGTGCAAATTCCGAAGAGTGACTTATACGGGAGTCGCCTACCAGTTTATATTGCATGAGATACGGCACCAAGTTCAAAGAAACCTTTAATATCCCATTGTTCATGTTGGTTCAATTATGAATCACTACGCGAATCAAATCCAAGAAGCCACATCACTATTGAAAGTAGATTGAAGATCAGATAGTGTAACTCTTACAATGATAATGATATTTCAACGCTACATACTAGGTGGTCTTACAAGTAGTACAGTGACGGCAATGCCAGAGTGACGAGAACCACCACAAACAGCCACTTGATATGAAGACTATATGCCGCAACATGCACCGTTCCTCCGCTCTGGAAGCTGCTCGTTGCGTCTTGCAGTAAATCCATAGCACTGGACACCTTGTCCCCAAACACGAACCAGCTTCCAGTGCTGGTGTCATGGGTGATGTTAGTCTGCTTCGTCACTCCGCCCTTCAAGCTCCCGAACTCGACCCTACCTCCTCCTATCGGACGCTGCAACTTATTCTCCCCAGCCTTGACGGTGAAGTTTGCCAGCGCAATCTCATACCCGTTCCTTGTGGCGTACGTCGGTAGACCGAAAAACGTAGCATTTATCGCGTCGTAGCCCACGCTGAGCTCGAAGTAGCCTCGGTAAAAGTACTCCTGCCACTGCAGTTCCGGGTTGGCCGCCGTCATCCACGAACTCCTGTTGAGAGCCCTCTCTTGCGTGATGTTCTGCCCTGCTGACGAGGGAGACGAGACCGCTGTGCCGGCGAACTCGACGCCGATGGACCCTGCCCCAGTCTCAGGGCCGTAATACTTCTCACCTAACCACACGAGATCACTGACCCACGAGGCGTGACTATCACCAGCCAGGAACACCGTATTGTCGATCTTGTTATCATAAAGCGTCTTCAGCGTCCGGTTCCTGTTCGCGACGTAGCCGTCCCACTGGTCGTAGTTGAAGGGGTTCTTGGGCCCGTTGGAGATACTCTGATTCATCCTGCTGAACACGATTTGGTTACCCACGATCCTCCAAAGGGCCGGTGTATCTTTGAGCTGGCGGTAGAACCAGTTCTCCTGGCGCGAACCCATAAGCGAGCGGCTTGTGTCGTCGCTGATTTCGTGGATGTATCCCGTGTTCCAGTATAAGTCGGTGATGGAGCGGTCGTAGTTCCTGGTGTCGAGCATGATGAGGTTGAAGAGGTCGCCAAATTGGAAGTTGCGCCAGATGCGGAGGTTATCGTCCATGTCGACCTGCCGAAGGGGCACTGTGAAGATGTCAGCTGGAGAAGGAGACGATGCGGGATGGACTTACTCCATTCAAAGTACGCGCGCACGGCGTTCATCTTGCGCGCGTCGACGGAGATGCCGTCGTCTTTGATGAAGGACTGTTCGGTGTTGTTCATCGCCGCCGAGCCGTCTCGGTACGGATTGTCCATCACTTCGTGGTCGTCCCAAACAGTTATCCAGGGGAACTTCTGGTGGCTGGCGCGGAGGTCGGGATCGCTCCGGTACTGAGCAAGGCGCCTACGATAATCGTAGAGTCTGACGCATCTCAGTTTTAGTGCTAGAGCAACCGATGTTTGAGGTTGGAAATCACACACGTATGACAAGAGCGGTTGGGTTCCGGGACTCTTCCGATTGAGTCGCCCCAACCCAGACCGCCGACGGGGTACTCTCCGTTGCCGTACTCATAGATGTAGTCACCTAGATGGATCACATAGTCCACCGAGTCTTTTCGCTCTGGGTTTCCGTAGGCGTTGAAGAAGCCGAAAGCTGTCACGGCTTGTGTTAGTAGGATAGGCTTGCAAGTATGCCACAATACTCACGGTAGTTTGCGCAACTGTAGACAGCTAGCCTCACAGGACGCTTCACTCTAGAGTTGGCTTCTGGAAGAGTCCGAGTCCTACCGATGGGTGACTTGTTCTGAGAGTTACACACTTTGAACTGGTAATCTGGCCTCATTTAGATCATGTCTGACAAATAGGGAGGCTAATGCACGAACAGTACGTCGTAAAGGCCTTCAGCCCTTTTGCTTCCACCTACATCAATCAGCTACAAGCACCAAGACTCTGAACAGGCCCTGCCCACAAACCTTGACGGTGAAGTCTACATCCGAACTTGTATAAGCCGTACCCGATCTGACGGCGTGCCCGTTCATAGTCTCCGACGTTCCAATTTTCCAATCGACGCAGATCGGCGACTTGCTCGCTTTGACAAACACATCGTTGTCGTGAGCGAAGACAGGGGCCGTTCCTTCAACCGTGACGTTGCTATGGTCGTTGTCCATCGTCGGGCCGACACGGGTCCAGAGGATAACGCTGTCATCGTACGGGTCGCCGGAGGCCACGCCGTGAGTGAAGTTTAGCTGCTCCGGTGTCCACGGCGTGCTGCCTTCAGATCGACCTGCCACCTTCCGGATAGAAATCCCGAGGAACGGATGGTGTAGAGAGGGTGATCCGTAGTTGAGGTTGCCGGCGTAAGTAGGGGCGGTTGCCGCGATCAGACTTGCGCCGCAAATGGCTTTAAGCAACAGCATTTGAGCGATGAAAATAGAGAGAGGCGTCTGGCTTAGAAAGGTCTTGAAACAAAAGGCCACTACAGCAACAGTTATTGCCAGAATCGGCCACGACAAGAGTGCGTTCAGCCCATTGATAACGCTTAGTTTTCCCATAGGACGCTTAAGGTTGTGTGTTTTAGCCTACGCCCAAGCGCTTGTACGATACTTTCATCGGTGTCCAACCGGTAGAGTGGGGTAGATGAAGGCGAGTAGCCAGTTAACCGGAACTCAATTGATGTTTGGCGAACTCTATCATTGGTTTCTAAGCGGATAAATGAGACAAATACGGTGTCCGAACGGTGTTTGATAGGGCGCGTAGACGCAGTAGGGCGTATTATTGACTCCTGTTTCCCTGGTGGGACCTAAGGTGAAAAGGACGCGGAACAGATTTTAATGATGAGATGTCATGCCCCGTTCTATCATACTGACCAGACCATGGTGCTTGAATCAAGAGATTATGAAGTTGCCTAATTCATTTCAGCTGTACAGTCTCTAAGATGGAGCTTCAGACAATCCGGATCGTCCGGACTTCCTTATCAACTGTACTCAGCAGACCAATCTCTTCGGCCTCGGCCGTCACCGCAATCCCTATCCTACGGAACGTGGTCTTGGTCTCATCCTCCGCTACTAGCAGCAGATACCACAAGTAGACGCCAGCTGTTGTCCGCTTCTGCGTGGGAACGTAGTACAAAGACCCCGCCTTGTTCTCGTCGTCGAAGCTCTTCTGGGCCTGGCCGACATCCAAATTCACTCCCACACCAGCGCTCCAATTTTTCTTATGCTTAGATTTTACGATGGCGCCATCCACTTCCAAGAAGAGTTGTTGTAGTTTCCCAATGTAGTTGACCACCATTTTGAAAGATCCCGGCCGGCACTTGAGATCGAGATATCCTCCTGTAATAAGGCCGGTTGTGTCCGGTGAATCATGGTCAAGATGAAAGCCAACAACCTCGATGAGAAGGTTTTCTCTAGTTGGAGTAGGGGCAGTTATCTGCCCATCTATGGAGGCCCACGAGAAAGTCGGTGCGCGGTATGTCTCAGGTCGAATGGATGGCGAGCCGTCGATTTGGCCATTACGGCTTGCTTTCCAAAGTAGACTGCTTTCGAAAGTGCTACTCCACATGCCCACCACATACGTGTCCTTCATCTTTGTCTGAAAATATTTTGCAATTCCGGACAATGCAATCAGTTTGTCGGAGGCCTAGGTCAGCTGGGTTTCGGAATATGACCATATAATTGATTGCCACATCCGGTGATATCCGAATGGATCAATAGCCTTTTCTTGATCAGTATTGGAACTGGGCCCTGTCGGGGTGAGTCTCTTGAACTTCACAAGAGCGGTATTGCGCAATGTTTCGGGTAGTCCGTCTGGATAACACTCGGCTGCTGTGTGGTCTCTGCATTCCCAGTATAACTGGTCTCGGCCGAAATGGAGAACGCGAGGGGGTAGCAGACGCTCCTGCAAGACCCAACCGCGTTTGTTGAGGGGACATTGGCCAACAGCGTGACTCCAAAACTCCAAGTTCACAATGGTACAGTCCACATAGTCTTCGCCAAGGCCAAGCTCCTCAGTGCATATCGTCACACTTTTTGTGAGACTCTGCCGTGGATCTCTTTGGAAGAACAGCCCCTTGGAGCTATCTCGGGCCCCCGAAGCAGAGATGTTGCAATATGAGTATGAGTAAACCTTGTGCATTAGTCCCGCTTCGACGAGCCAGTCGGAGAGGTCGTCTCGGTCTTGGAGGATGCACAGAGAGTCGATCCAAAGGTAACGTATACCCAGACGTCGAGTAACTTCAACAGCTTCTCAGAATGTCTTCGGCAAGTCGGACAACTGGATCCCTTTTCGAAAGTGGGCATAAGTGAACTTGTTAAGCTGAACGAACTGCGCCGAGCCCCAGCAGTGACTCAAGGTTGTGTACCGCTGCTTAAACACAAACGCCTCGTCTGATGTAATAATCAAACGAAGACTGCCAAGGTCTAGGTCCGGGGCAGACAAGTCCAAAAGCCTGGTGGGGTACCACGCCTCAGCGGCCGCTTCGGCGTTGCATGATTGATGGCCTGAGCAGCACGTCCCATCCACGTGATAGCTTTCCCCCAGGCTTCTTCAGACGCAGTGTTGTTGGACAGAAATGGTTTCATATTTCCTGGGTCTTTGTCTATTAGCCGGAATTGATATGAAATACCAGTCATATTCAAGAATGTTCGCATCGGATAACTAACCTGCTCCCCTCTGAACGATGTAACTGCCATACAATTCCGTTCTCCTCAGCGGACATTCTTTACCGAAGTCTGGCTCAAGCGATATGGACACCACACCGTAAGGTCCATGCCTATGGCCTTCATGTCGTCCTGCGCACCGAAGTTGATTATGGCACAAATAATGACCAATCCATCTAAATTGTCAACGTCGAGCTTCTCGCCACTTATCCTCGGTTTCGCTCCAGCATCATGACGTTTAGCCCATTGTGTATCAAAATCTCTCAGCGTGGACCTCTCATTCTCATCTATTTGCCACCAGAACGGGTGGCATATCTCGCAGGCTTCCAGAGCAGATGCTTCGAGACTGGCAATAGACTCGTGATGAGCCAGTAAGATTGTCGTCTCGAATTCGGCGTGGTCGCTAATAGCCCATCCCTTTCTATCATGAATTGCACCGATGCAGGTGTCACAAATCATGGCGGAGGGGTTTAGACTCGCAGTCGATATCTGGCGTCCACAAGTTTGACGAACTTTGAGAGGCGATAGTAATGTGAAGTGACGGAACTGATGCGGGGTTATTGAGCCTGCCAACAAAAAACCTCAACTTTTTGGGTCAGAAATGGAAATTGTCTTCATTGGTGGTGGGTGTGTCTATCGCTGATTGGAGGCAGTTGGAAAGCCACAATGCTTCCTTTTGTCTTGTTAGCGCACCTTAACGATCCTTGCTTGAGATTTCTCTCTGTCATTTTGGTGTTACTTACCTCGAATGATGCAACTTTGAAATGCCGTCAACCGGAGCGAAATGAATGCCACGAATTACAGTCTCTCCTGGGTCTGCCGGAGCCTTTGCTGCGAAGTTGCTATTTCAAAAGCTCACCCGAAGTCATCAAGTGCGGCAGTACTCCGAAATTTTCAGTTCCTGCCAAGTCTGACTTGTTTGTGCTTTTCAGTCATAAGTGAGAAACCGACTACGATCCAATTTTCCTCTTGGGAGCCATGTCTTCTGGGAACACTTTATACTCCCGAAGGACTATGGTGTCTGTGTTCTGGAACGAGCGGAAACGCTAGGTAAGCAACCCAATATCAGGGTCAGATCTCCGTGAGTTGATACACTCAGCCAAGAAGGAGTTCTGAGGTCCATGTTTTGTTTATTTGTTTCTAGCAGTCATGAAGAAACATGAAGGATTATTGCCGGCCCGCCTTTCTTTTCTATAGCTGTGGCTACTTCGCTTATCACACGCGAGTATGAGCCTTCTGAGCTGCCCCTTCCGATGAGCACACCAGCTCTATAAACCAGAAAAGTCTTTGCGGGAAACTTTGAGACTATGATGAACCTTCCTTCTGCATTTTTCCTGACTCGATCGATGACGATTCGTCCAGGCGAACTTCACTTATAATGAAGCTGTTTGTTATGGATTGGTGATGAAGAACACCGGAGCGAGCCTATCTTATAAATAAGGTCTTGCCATTTCTAAAATAGTGTCAGTAGATCATTCTTACGAAAGCGCTATATCTAAGGTAGAGATACCTAGATTTATTGACGCCGCAAAACGTCGGGTAAGGAGCGGGGTCGAGAAACCTTGGACATGCACGCCAGCTGCCTGCGAAATTTTACAGCCGAATGAAATCACAGGTCGGGTGTGATTGGTAGGTACCGAGTGAGCGCTTGATGCCCAGTCCTCGCCTCCAACAAGGCCTCTTAGTCCCTACGTGTTTGCCGATTACTATTGCGTACCAGCCCAAATACCAACGTCGTGCCTTAAGCCGAAGCATGTAAGTAATGGTGAGATTGTGTCCAGATGGGTATTTTATCAAAACACAGCGGCGACTTTCAACAGCCCTGCTCCAGGAATCGGGATGCTGGTAGTATTTGCATCATCGAGGCTCCGAGAAGTTTAGTTTGGGACAGCACGAGAGCTGCTTGCTGCGGAAATTGGCGCTTAAATTGCTCACTTGGCGGGCAGGCAGAACCAGGATTGGATTCCTGGTTGCCTTGTTGGCGGTACTTAGAACATTTTCGCCCCTGCAAACTGCATTTCCATAAGCTCCTTCCGGATGCATCTACTGATAGACGGGATCCATGGTACCAACAGCATTCGGTCAACACCCACCTGCATAAAACCCCGTCCTTCCATTGGAAGCAGAGAAAAAGGGGGTCTCCAGCCCCTCTAATTTCTCAGAATCGTCTCATTCGTCCGCATCATCAACGCCCTCGGAGTATCGTTCTCACGAATCACTGCAGTCTGGGTCACCATCTCAGCCCATCCCCACAGCAGGCTTCGTGGGTGCCAAAACCAGATTTGCTCACCGATTGACCGAAAAAGTTAGCTGAAGCCATAATGTCCGCCTATGCACATGGTTCATGGCATCAGAACGTTCAGCCAACCGCCATCCCAGCGGCTATGGCGGCTGAGGCCGACGATGACGAGGAACCCCTCGAAGCTGACGAGGGCTATGGCGTTTGTTGCTCCTTGACCGACGACCACTTTCGGTGTTTCTCCTTTGTTCTAACTGACCACTTACAAGACCGATGGTGGTTCAACGATTGACGAACAAATGTAAGAATGCCATCATGTAAAATGCCTTCTACTCAATCGCTCATTCATCACGACATAGGCAAGCCTACGCCGCGTCATTATCGTCAAGTGTCGTTGACTATCCGGAAGAGTTCGGACGAAGATATCACGCTTATCGAGCCGGGAGTAAGGCATCATCATTAAACAAGTTTGTTTGTGCATTCTAACAGATCCAGAATACCCGCTTCCAAACGATGAGCTGGAATCGGAGCGTCTCAATTTGGCCCATCGTCTGATTTTCAGGCTTCTTGGCAATAGACTCTTCCTAGCGCCCCTTGAGTTTGACCGGGTCAATCGTATTTTGGACATTGGCACTGGTACAGGCAAATGTGAATATGACGGCTGATTCCTTACGTGCCTTGGTGCTGATAGTTTACGCCACAGGGGCGATCCAAATGGGCGATCTTTTCCAGCATGCAGAGGTACACTTCTTGGGTCAATTCAACCCAGGGATCGCAAGACTAATGGCGAGTAGATTACTGGAAACGACTTGAGTGCAATCCAGCCAATATGGTAAGTATGCTATCAACGCATTGTGTAGGGCTTTCACATAGCTAACCAATTCAGGGTTCCCCCAAACGTCAAGTTTGAAATAGATGATGTCGAAAGTTCTTGGGTTGGACATCAAAAGTATGACTACATCATGTGCAGATACATGGCAGCTGCGATCAGAGATTGGCCCAAGCTGATAAGGAATATCTATGAGTACTTTCCTTCTTTTTTCTTTTTTGACGTTCATCGTTATCGCGGCGACACAGATGCTACTATTGGTCCTTTAAATGTCTGATGCTGACTTGCGTCAACAGCCATCTCAACCCAGGGGGGTGGGCAGAGTTCCAAGACATGGACATCGAGCTTTACTCAGAGGATGGGACCCTCACTGATAGCCACGCCACGAAACAATGGAGTAGGACATTTGTGACAACTTTGGCGAGTATGGGTCTAGAACCTGCACCAGGGCCACAACTGGAAGGCTGGGTGTGGTCGCATGGCGGGTTTACGAACGTCAGCCATCGAAAGTATAGGGTACCTGTTGGGCCATGGCCTAGACAGACTTTCTTCAAGAATCTGGGCATGCTGAACCTGATACAGACTCTAGAGGGGCTTGAAGGATTCTCACTGAAAATGTTTTGCGGCGTTCTCGGGCGGACGAGAGAAGCAGTGATGACCCAGATCGAGGAGGTGAGTGAGGAGTTGAAGAGTGGCACGATCCACAGTCAGTTTGATATGTGAGCATTTTGCTTCTTTGGAAACGTTTATCATGAAAACGCTGACTCTCCCCAGACACGTCGTCTACGGACAGAAGCCATTGAAAGGAGATGGGACTGCGTGACCATACGTCAGAAACATCAAAAATGTCCTGGAGCACAGTAACGAATGCCTGGGGGGAATGCAGGCCAACCGATTGAGCTTCGGGGCGAACAAACGTAGAAAGGCTTAAGTCCGTAGCAAGGTTTTTAATCTAAGCTGAAATCTTCGGAGAGACTTACAATATTTGCATTCACACCTATGGATACAGCTTGCATCTGCATGTCTTCGCAGAGCCGTTGAGGCATTTGAACCGCGGCACAGGGACTGATTCACGAATCCATACAAGGCTGGCATTGCTTCGAGTGCATTGCCTTCCGTGCGTATGCAAAGATACGACGAGGATCCAGGTGAGCTGTTATTGACTCTGAAAGAGGAAAATGCGTTTGGGCGACTACAGGTTGCATATGCAAATGGTCCGGGAATCCGAAGCGGTTGAATCTGATTGGTGTCGAACCGATAGATATTGGATGCGAAAGTGCGGCAGCCCCATCATGACATTGTCCGCAGACTTATGATTGGCTTCCAGGGGCACTAGAATGGAACGTTCGCTGCATACCACCCATGCTGTCTCGCACAGAAAATTGGGGCGCCGAGATGTTGGAAGTCGCAAGCAAAGCAATGATGCGGCAAGTACAAATGTGTGTCGTTTTTCGACAGCGGCAATTCCGAAACTACCCCTCTTCTTCAATCGCACGTTCCCATCAAGCTTGCAAACAGCATTCTTTCCCGTGACGATCGCTTCTTACGAAATCCAAACTGACAGCATGTCAGAGGCGCAGAAGGACACCACCGGGCCAAACTTGGCGCCGAAATCCCAGACAGCATCACCTGCTTCAGGAAATTCACCGGAAGCCGTGGGCAATCTCGCGACTGGCGCCCTTGATGTAGATGAGGCGGAACATGTGCGTGGACCCTTTAACTTTTCTCTTTGTGATGATGGACTTTGTTGACATGTAGTACAGCAATCCGATACTGCTTCAACGATTGATAGCCGAATGTGAGAGGCTTCAGTGTCTGATATCAAGCTAGTATACTGATGACTTAGTTCAACTTATTCGGCATCTCTGTCTGAAAGCGTACTTGATTACCCAACCGAGAATGGCCGACGTTATCATGCTTTTCGGGCCGGCTGTAAGTGAGGCGAAGTTGCGGACTCTGCTGCTACTGCGAATTCCGAATGCTGACGTTATGAAAGCCTACTTTGCTCCCAACGATGAGGTACATTTGAGACTGTTGAACCATGCCCCTCTTGCTTGCTAATGAGAAACTGCGGTGCACGCACAGAGCGAAATGGACCGACTTGATTTCAATCATATGCTGGTGCTCAAAACCTTGGGAAAGAAACTTTTTCTGGCCCCTGTTCCGAAAGAGAAGACCCATCGCATTCTTGACATTGGAACCGGTACAGGTATCTGTACGTGCGACGTGTAACATTCGCGCGTACCTAACAAGTCTGACGAGCACAACAGGGGCTATCGAGGCATCGGATTTGTTCCCCAACGCAGAGGTACGTTTAGACAACTGTTTTTCTGGGTTGAACTAATAGGCTGAGAAGGTCATCGGCAATGATTTGAGTGCTATTCAGCCTAAATGGTAATGATACCGCTCAGAGAGATGTGATCTCCCGTGTTCTTGACTGACAATGCAACAGGGTGCCGCCAAATGTCAAATTTGAGGTCGACGACGTGGAAAGCGAATGGGTCCACAACGAGAAGTTTGACTTCACCTTCTGTCGGTACATGGCAGCATCTATCTCGGATTGGCCGAAGCTCATGTCGAGAATCTACGAGTGAGTAACATGAACAGGCATTCAGACAGAACGCTGAGAAACCGGGACTATAGAAACACAAACCCTGGCGGATGGGTAGAATTTCAAGACTACGATCTCTTGTACAGATCAGACGACGGCTCGCTGACTGACGATCATCACACTTCGAAGTGGACCAAGGACTTCCTTGACGGCTTTAAATCAATTGGACGAGAACCTTGCCCAGGTCCCAGACTGGAGGGCTGGGCTAAAGAAGCTGGGTTTACTAACATCAAACATCAGGTGTTCAAATTGCCCATTGGGCCTTGGCCAAAGGATCCCTACTATAAGGACGTAGGAATGACCAATATGATCATGCTCCTCGATGGCTTGGAGGGCTTTACGCTGCGAATGTTCTGCAGTGTTCTCGGGTGGACAAAGGAAGAGGTTCAAGTTTTGTTGATGTTGGTCCGCAAAGAGCTCAAGGCTCCGGCATTCCATGCCTACTACAACCTGTGAGTAAATCGTCAACAAAGGTGGTGTGACTGGTTTGCTGATGAACTATATCTCGTAGTCATGTGGTTTACGCACAAAAGCCCGAGACCAAAGATGATGAGTAGTGGAGTCATTCGTTGGAATCAGTTATTTAGGTATGAGGTCTGGCGATTCCTTACCACAGATAAAGTTCTTTTTTCAATGTCCATTCCACAGTCTAGCAGAGCTTAGTTGAAAAGTCATGGCTCATTTCCGTGAGAATATTTGAGAAAATTGTGATGTGAAACCAGACATCAATGAAAGCTTTCAAAGTGCTTGGTTTGGTGGGAGGCTTTTCCGCTTCCAGCACGCGCGAAGTTGACGACTGGATCAGCGACGGGCATGACAAGTCCCCGAGAATCCGGGTCTCCAGCAGAGTTTCTCTGAGTTCTGATTCCCTGGATCAGAACCCGCATCCGCCAAGACCTGATATTGCGACCGCTTCCATTTGTAATGCGACATCCCGCCGGTGAGAGCTACTTTGTCTCATGCAGCAACATCTTGCTTTTCATTGGATGACCTGACATCAGGTGTTCATAAGCAGCTCAACTCCATGGCGCCGATGCCTGTTGGTCATCGTATCAGTCAGCTTGATATCACGATTGGCCCATCTGCCGTAGCTAGCAGATGGAACATTTTCTCCTAATCTGTAGTCAAAGAAGATTTGCCTCGGTTCTTGGTAACGCTAGTAGAGAGTTGACACTCAAGCCAAGATCCGTAGATGTGAGGATGACTCCACTTTTCGCACGGGATGTTACGGTGTGGAATAAGGGACTTGCGTTTATCTGAGTAAGAAACTTGCATTTTGGCGACACGGAATCGACATACGACGAGCCTAAAGAGGAGAAGTGGGTATGTGTAACAGGATTCCCCTCACCGCGACCCATCATTATAAATATTGTCCTTAGCTCCTGTGCAAAGTATCAAGTCCACCATCTTCATCTGATCTCAATCTTCACCGAGGTCCAACAGACATACCCCGCCATGGCCTCGACAACGCTCACCGAGAACACCTTCACCCACAGCGGCGACAAGACCACCTTCTACTGGTCTGCTGGGCCCTCTCAGGGACCGCTGGTCATCTTCATCCACGGCTGGCCCGCCAACGGCGAGTCGTGGAAGCCTCAGCTGCTCGCTCTCGCCGCGCTCGGCTTCCGCACGATCGCGCCCGACACCCGCGGCTACGGACGATCCAGCGTGCCCAAGGAAACATCCGCCTACGCGTTGGAGCACCATGTATCGGACATGCTGGCCCTGCTCGCCCACCTCGGCCGTGACAAGGCGGTGTGGATCGGACACGACTGGGGTGCCGGCCTCGTCTGGGGCCTCGCCGCGCAGCACCCGGAGAAGTGCGTCGGCGTGTGCTGCATGACGGTCCCGTACCAAGTCCTCGCGAATGGCCTGGAGGGTCTCGTCGCCCTTTCCAACCGCGAACTGTACCCCGAGGACCAGTACCCGCTCGCTCAATGGGACTACCAGGCGTTCCACACCGAGCAGCCTGAAGCCAGTGCCAGCCAGCTAGCGGCCAACGTCACCAACACCGTCAAGCTGTTCTACCGAGGCGGAAGTCCGCAGACCTACGGCAAGCCCGCTTTTACCGCGTCAGTTCGGAAGACCGGGGGCTGGTTCGGCGGCCTCCCAGAGGCGCCAGACACGCCCTTCGAGTCGACGCTGTTCAAGAACGACAAGCCGGCGTTTGATCGCATGGTCGCAGAGTTTGAGAAGAACGGTTTCGAGGGCCCGAATGATTACTACCGCAACCACCCGGCCAACAAGGCGTACACCCTAAAGGCACCGAACGGAGGCCGGCTGTCGTACCCCGTCCTCTTTGTGGAGGCACGATGGGACAGCGTCTGCGATACTTCCATTTCGAGATTGAGTGAGCCCATGCGGGAATTGTGCGATGACCTCACCGAGGTGAGCATCGAGGCGGGGCACTGGGTTGCGATGGAGAAGCCGGAGGAGACCAGCGCGGCAATCGTGAGGTGGATTGCTCAGAAGCTGCCCACGCACTTCCCCGGCTACTGGAAGACACCGTTCGTGTCGCGCAAGTGAGAGGATAGTATGCAGCTTTATGGTCTTATTCAGAAATAACGACACGAGTTCAGTGCGGTTCTAGCTTATGTATTTGCTATACTCTTTCGGTCGCCGGGGACCATGATTGTCCGAACGGATAGACATGCCGGCGCACGTTGATGAACACGATAATTTGCCACCGCGAAAGCGCATCGCTATTTGGGTAAGGCGGTGATCGAAATGGATCGTCAGCTAGCTATCGTCATGGGAGAATTTCTCGAGTCAGGTCCCAGGTCCGACCAACTCGCTTGTTGCTTGTGTGGATACTGCTGGATATGAAACAATGGACATGATGCCTCTCATTGGATCACGAACTCTTCGTGGAGTTTAAGGCTGGACCTATCCATGTGTCGGGGCGCCCGGGGAACTGGACGATGGCCGATCATACTAACGGAGGACCTGATTGAGGATGAAGCAGCCTGGGCAGAAAAGAGAGCTTTACAGAAATGGATTGGACCATTTCAGCGCTGACGACTCAATTGAATTTGACGTATTTTCCATGTTTTTATCCGAGCATTGACGCGTGGTCGTCGACGATTCAGAGGTGAGGCTGTTGTTTGTGCGTCTAAGGTTAATCATCCTGATGGCCGGGGTAGGTCTGCTTCCATGGAGCCTCTAATTTCGGTTCTTTATGATCAACCTTCGTGACAAGCTTGATTATTTTCCGTCTCTTTAGGGGCGCCCGCCCATCCCAACAATGAAGGGCACCTGTTGTCCTTCTTGCTTAAGGCTGAATGTGCTCAGAGCACCTCGGTTTGATATTTCCATGCTTCAACGTTAACCGCAACGATTCTGGGCGGAAACCACCTATTTGAGCATGGCATCATCGCAAAAGGCCTGGGAGCTCGAAGACCGGCCCTCGCCGACCTTTCATCAACAACCACAACACGCGCCCGCGAATGGCTCCGCACAAAATGCCGTGCCAGAACATAGGTGGCCTTTCCAGGAGGTAGAGGACGACAAGCAGCCTCCTCAGTGGCCCTTCCACGGCGAGGACGAAGCCAAGAAACCGCCCCCCACGTCGCTGCACCCGCCGCCCGCAGCTGGCCCGCCATTTCAACGCCAACCTTCAGTCAGTCCGAGTCCGAGGCCAAGCCATACCCGCCATGTGCTTAGCTACTGGGCCCTCGAGCTCCTCACGGTGTTCGTCGCGGTCGGTCTTCTCGTTGCCATCATCGCTCTTCTCGCGTACTACGATGGCCGTTACATGCCAGAATGGCCGTTCGACATCAACCTCAACTCCGCCATTGCCTTTCTGTCGACCTTTCTCCGGGCGGCCATCGTCGCCGCCGTTGCGGAAATCATTGGCCAGATCAAGTGGACTTGGTTCACTGAGCAGACGCGCCCACTTCACCACCTCCAGGACTTTGATGCGGCCAGTCGGTCTATCCTCGGCTCCATGAAACTCCTGGCGGTGTTGATATGGAACATGGGATTTACGTCTGCTGGCCTGCTTGCCATCGGGGCCGCGTTGGTAACCATCGCCAGTCTGTCCGTCGGCCCCGTCACCCAGCAAGCCGTCCGGACAAGCACCTGTCCCATGTTACAAGACCACATCAACTCGTCCATCCCGGCTGCCAACTACGTCCCCGGTTCATCAGCTTACTACCGGGTGGGTGCAGGCTCATATGAGATTGAGGTGGACATGAAGAGTACCATGATCCAGGGAATAACAGACCCGAACAGCCAGTACAGCAACGTCCAAGTCAGCTGCCCCAGTGGTAACTGCACATGGCCGGACTACGGCACAGGCGTCACGCATGCGAGCATCGGCATGTGCAGCAAGTGCATCGACACGACGAGCTTCGTCAGCGGGCCCAACAATGTGAGCAACATCACGCTGCCAGATCGAGACGCTTTCATCAACATCATGTCTGGCAATTACATGTGGATGGGGTACAGCAACCTCAGCGCGTACACCAGTCTCTTCACCGAGGATTTTGCGGCGGCGTCGGCAGTCTCGCTTGCAAACTTCAGCATGCTCATGATCTCGAGCTCGCCTTGCACGTCGGACAACTCGACGGGGATACCCAAGCTCGAGTGTCCGCATCGCGTCACCGAAACAAACATGAACTCCTACGGCGATCTAGGGGACTACATCGCCGCCTCGTGCGTTCTGTACCCTTGCATGAAGGAGTATTTCGCCCAGTACGAGAACAACACTCTGACAGAGAAGCTCGTCCGCACCACGACGGCGGTGCCCAATAAGGCCGAGCTCGGATCTCAGGGCTCGTACTATTACTCGGGATACGGTAACTACACAGCCCGCCGGAGCCCATGCGTGCTTGATGACGGCACCTGGTACGACTTCAACAACCAGAGCGACGCACTCGATGTCCCGGGTCGCACCTGGACGAACTATACCATCGCCGACAATGACATCCGCCTGGTACCTAACGCCTGTCTATACAAGATGGACGGCACATTCTTTTCGGCGTTGTCAAGTTTCCTCAGCGTCGACCTCTTCAGCGCCTCATGTAGATACGACAACATGCAGAGTGGCCATCTCAACTGCTACGACTCGTGGTGGCTGACACCGTTGTGGGCCGAGAAGAATGCGACGGTAGCCAGTCTGGCGAGCGCCATGGACAGCTTTGCATGGGCCGTCACCAACAAGTTCCGCATGACGGGTCTCGGCCCAGACATTCACCAGGGCGTCGACGCCCTCAAGAACCGGGGCGCCCAGGCACTTGGTGAAGTATGGGCGAGCAGCACGTGCACCTACTTCGACAGCAAGTACATTGCGCTGCCCGCCGTCCTCGTCGCCTGCTGCGCCTTCCTCCTCGGCTGGGTCATCATCAAGAACTACACCGACCCGGAGCAGCCGGTGTGGAAGGGCAACGTGCTCCCGTTGCTCTTCTTCGGGTTGCATGATAAAATGGGTCCGCAAGCCGCTGGCGGAGGAATCGGCTCTAGTGCTACCAGTGAGCCGGGCCAGCCGAGAGACGGCGGGAGACTGGCAAGGAATATGTCGTTCTTCCGGGAGAATGGACGCGCGGCGCCGGAGCTGGACCGGATCCAGCAGGAATCGGGTCGGATGTGGGTGCGGTTCCACGGCGGAACGGATCCCGGGTTCTTGGACCTGGGCACGAAACGGCATGACCCGGAGGCTGCAAACTCGGGGCTGGTGTCTGGAAACTTGGGGAATAATGATTTCCGCGGAAGACCAGCGGGAAGATAATGTTGAAATGATAATATGACTGTTATTCCTAGCGCGATGCTCGGGCTTGAAATATTTCTGGTGCTGACTACTGAACTTCCGAGTTACAATTTAAGCAGCAAGCAGAATTTGGTTCATTGACAAAACATGCAATGCCCGATTGCACACTCATTAGGGTGGTCGTAGTCAAGCAGCAAAAGAACTGTCTAACACCTGTTCTCGGAGCCATTTGATATGAAAACAGACAGCACAGCCGCATACGCGGCCGAGACTGCGATCATCTCGAAGTTAGAAGCTCTTAGCATCGTAGCAACCGCAACTGATAGGATCAAGATGCAAGCCGACACAATCGCCAACTGATTGTTTCGAGAAAGATCGGCCGACAGGATTGCTAGCGGGACAACAAGAAAGATACCAATCATTAAAGCAGTAATCACGCGCCCCGCGATTGCAGCAACCATGATGGAGTTTTGATGTGACCAAAGATCGTTCTTATTGAATAACCCAAGATCTTCTGTGTTGTTGCGGGCTTTCATTGAAAGTTTGCGATATCGGAAAGCTCGCAAACATTGGTGGATCCAGCGTTCGAACGGATCGGTTCGCGTACGTGTGCCTAGGTCGGCCCTAAGAAGCCTTGTTTTGTAGATTTCTGGCAGAGTCAAGTCGGTCCTCAGGCTGGATTGTTTCTCGTCGTCGATAAGAGAAAAAGTTTCCATTCCCATTATGTTGTTGAAGGAAGTAAGCGCCTCGTCTACCCAGTTTGTTGAGAGGTTAGAGTGATTCGAGCGTGGCCTTGTGTCTGCTCACTCACCATACTGCTTGAGCAACTCACGTAGCTCTAAAATAGTGTCTTGCGTGATCGCTGAAGTTAGATCAGGTGCTGCTTCATCTTTCATGCAGTGTTTCAAGCCTAATCTGTCCCGAGAAGAAATCTCAACTCCAAACTGCAACCCGACTTAGTATAGGACGTGATCCAACTTCGCAATTTCTGCTTCAAGATACCGCAGATTTACTAGGTGTGCCGTTTTGAACCGACGGAATCCATGAAGTGTGAGATTGTTATCGTCAGTCGCGCTTCGCCAGTGCCCAAGAAACTGGTCTGCCATCGCTGAATATTGCGCAATCCCAGTTAAAATGCAATCAAAACCGGAGATTCAAAGGTCTCCTCGACCATTAGTAGTCGGCAGAATGGAAAAGCGCTTCTTATAGACATTTCCAGCGGTTTTTCTCTGCACTATACTTCAACCAGCATTTTGGATGGCATAACAAAACGCCTAAACGAAGCAACCAAAAAATGCAGTTGTTGCGATACCCTTATGTTACGACCCGTTATACATGGATAACAGTTGACCGACTTATTAGGCGTTAGGCGGCTAGGATAGGATATTTATACTATAGAATTATAGGAATAATAGGGACTTATTTAGAATAGAAGAACTATAACATAAGTTATATGATAATAAGAAGGACTAATAGAAGATAAGCAGTCTAATAAGAGGACTAATATAAAGATAGTAGTCTACCTTTAGGGACTACCTAGATCTTATTAGTCTTAGGATAGAGAGACTATTTAGGACTTATATATAGTATAACTATAAACTAGGCTTAGGGTTAGACTTCTATAGCTCTTTAGTAATCAACTTAGTATTTATCCTTATAAATACTCTTAGTTTACCTTCACTATAAATCACTTATTAAGCCTAAGACTAATCACCTTAATCTCTAAAAGACCTAATTTACTACAGCCTATAACCTATAACTTAGACTATAACCTTAATATACTATTATAATATATTAATCCCTAGCTTCTATTAGCAGACCCTACTATTAGATAGCTAACTATAACACTTTAATTACTCCTATTCAGTAAGTTAACTATTAACACCTACTAATAGTAAAACGATAAATATATCTTCATACACCTCCGCTAAGTTACTTACTTTAGGGACCTCCTCCTCTTTATAGCAGCTAGTCTAAAACCTAGCTGAAGAATTTAAAGGAGTCCTTATAGCAGTAGACTTTAACGATAAAGTAACCCTAAAAAAAGACACCTATAAACGCTTTTAAGCTAGAGTTAAGAAAGGAGATAACGATATTACTAAAGTTTAGACTATATATAATAACACTACTATAGAACTTTAAGGCCTTAAAGAAATAATATAACAACTAGGAAACAGCCCTTAGCATATTATAGACCTAGAAAACGAAGTTATCTGATTTAGAGGATAAAATAGTAACGCTAATATTAAAGAACTCTAGGAAGAAATCTACACCTTACGCACAGCTACTAATATTATTATAACCCCTACTAGAGGATAACAGAAGCTTAAGCTTAGCGCCTTAATTACTTATAATAGCACCTCTAAATAACTTAAGTTATTCCTAATCTAAGTTAAGAACTACTAAAACTTCTACTATAGAGACTTCACTAGTTAGACTAAGAAAGTTATCTATATTACTACTTACTTATAAGGATAAGCCCTTAAATAGTTTAAACCTATCTAAGAAGAGTTCCTTAAGTATAAAACCTTAGATAAATACTCTACTAAGATTTATAATATCTATAGCAGCTTTAAGGGATTTAAAGATACCTTCTACTCTCTCTTCTAAGACCCTAATAAGAAATAATAAACTAAGAGAGACCTCATATAGCTATAACAGATAAAGTTAACTAAAGAATATACTACTATATTTAGATAACTTAGTATCTAACTTAACCTCACTAAAGAAACTAAGATCTTTATATTCTATTAAGGACTTAAAGATAAAGTTAAAGATAAGATTATTAAGATCAACCATCCTAAAGACTTTCTTTAGTATACTAACCTTACTATTAAGATTAATAATTAACTTTTTAAACACTATAAAGAAAAAGGCAAAAAATAATAAAGACTAAACTCTAGATATAAATACTAATAGCAGCCCTAGTAGAAGTTTAACCCCTAGTAGAATAATAACAGACCTTATAACAACTAGAATAACACCTACTAAAGTACTACCTATAGATAATATAGTAGACCTATAGATCTTAGCATAATAACTAAACCTAATAACAAAAAGCCTTAGAACCCTAAGTATTATAACTACAATAAATAAGGATATATTACTAGAGACTATAAGCAGCTAAAGAAGCTTCCCTAGAAACTAATAACTAAATAACCCTAATAAGTTAACACTATTACTAAAGTCCTATATATATCCTAGTCCTAGACTAGATATTATAATAATAACTATTAGATTTATCTTAAAGATAAGGAAATATTAGGATACTACCTAAAGGATAGCAACTCTAAACAGTTTAAGTATAATATAACCACACTAGATATATATCTAAGAACCCTAGTAATAATACATACTAGTAATAGCAAAATCTATAGAAAAACCTAAGAATAACTTAATAAGATACTATAAGTATAGCAACTCTAACTAACTCCTAATTCTACCCTAAAAACAACTAATAGCTAAAATCAGACTAGCTATAAACTCCTAAACTAAACTACCTACATAACACTAAAAGAATAGATAAGGAAAAAATCTAATAACAAACTAAATTATAAATATAACCCCCTAAAAGAATAGCAACTATTTAATCTCACAAATAACTAGACTTTTAGAGAAGGAGAAAGTTCTCCTTATAACTTAGATAAACCTTATAATATTATATACTAATATACTTAGGCAGAGATCACCTATAGGCTTACCCTTAGTATGGATAATACTAGCTCTAAAGAGGAATCTAAGAAAGATAATACACTTAAACAAATTATATATAAATAAATCAACCTATATAATAACAAATAGTTTATTAAACTTTATAATATACCTAATATAAAACTAAGAATATATCACACCCTATAACTTAGGACTAAAGATCACCCCTACCTTAAAATTACTAACCCTAACTATTAACACCTCTTTTAAACATAATATTTCTTTAACTATTATAAAATCTATATAAGAGATAAGTATAACTACTATTTCTAACCTAAACAATATAATAACAGTCCTCTATAAAACATCTACACTACACACACCCTCATTAGATAGGAACTCAGAAAGTTTAATAGCAACATCACTATATTCACCCCCAACTAACAATTTCCTATAAAATACCTCTATAATAAATAAATAAAATAAGACAAATACTAACGCAATAAATACCAAATCCACTATAAGGAAAAAGCATACACCTAGAGAATTACAAAGAATAAACCCTAACCTCCTCAAGTTAGATATCACAAAAACAGCCTTATAAAAGCATAACAGGAAGGGAAATAAATCACCTACCTAAGACACCTAAAGCAGTTAAAAAACTAAACTCACCTACCAATATAGAACCACAATAAGCAATAAGGAAAAGGTTTATCCACTAAATATCATAAGAATATTAAGGTAATATAGAACTTAAAGTTATTATTAATTAATAGATAACACTTACGCTAATCAACAATAAAGCTAAAGCAAACTTTATCACCCCCTAAGCTATTAATAAGCTAAGAGTACTATAGGGAGAAAAAGAACAATTATACTAGTTACATATAGCAGAAGGAGAAGAATTTAAATATAAAGGAGGTACTATCTATAATAAGACTGCACCTCTTAAGATAAGCTACTTAAATTAAAAAGAAAGAATCTAATTTAATATTACTAATCTAGGAACGTATAACATAATACTAAAACTACCCTAGCTATAAATAAGCAACCTATAGATAGATTAGAGCAAAAGCTAACTCTATTAGGACTATAACAACTTAGTTCCTAAGCAGCCTTATTAAAAACAAGCCTTAAATAAGCTAATATAGTAAGAAACTATAAGATAATATATCTACTACCTTAAGGTAAAGCAAGCCATATTATAACTATTAATAATAATAGATCTTAAATAAAAGAACGATCTACTTCTATCTATCCTAAAAGAGTATAGAGTTTATAAGAAACTCTTTACAGCTAAATTAGAGATTAAACTACCTAAATATACTAGTTTTAATTATAAAATCCCCCTTAAGGAAGGAAAAGAACTATAATTTAACAAAATCTATAGACTTAACCTAATAGAAATAGAAGCTCTAAATAAGTACCTTAAAGAAAACCTTAGGAAAGGTTATATTAAACTTTTAATATCACTAATAGGAAGCCTTATCCTATTTATACCTAAGAAAAACAAAAAACTATAACTATATATTAACTACTATATACTTAACGAAATAACAATTAAAAATTATTACCTATTACCCTTTATAAATAAGATAAGATAACTCCTATATAGAGCTAACTAGTTTACAGCCTTTAACCTTAAAGGGGCTTATAACCTAATCTAAATAAAGTAAGGTAAAGAATAGAAGACTACTTTCTAAACACAAAAAAGATATTTTAAATACCTCATTATACCCTTCAATCTTACTAACATACCTATAACATTCTAAAATATAATTAACATAATACTACATAAGTATATTAATATCTATATAGTTATCTACCTAGATAACATCCTTATCTTCTCACTTATACTTAAGAAGTATAAAGAAGACATTCACTATATCTTATAAGCCCTTTAAGAAACTAAACTCTTAGTTAAACCTAAAAAAAGCAAATTTCACATATAAAAAGTGGAATACCTTAGATTCACTATCACCCCTAGAAAGGTTTATATATTAGGAAATAAAGTTAAAACTATTAAGGAATAGCTAATACCTAATAACCTTAAGGAAGTCTAAAGATTCCTAGGTTTTATTAACTTCTACTGCAAATTTATTAAAGACTATAGTAAGATTAATATAGCTTTTACTAGCCTTAGCTATAAAGACATACCCTTCATATAAGAAGAACTATAATAAATAATATTCTAAAAGATTAAAAATCTTATCACTAGCAAACCTATCCTAATCATCCTAAACCT